TTTGCACTAGCCATTAATTGCAGTACGTTAGCCATTAGTAAAAGTCCGCATATCTTTGTAGTTTAGGGTGTGGCCATTATTAACCACACCCTCTCACGTTTTAGCACGTGGATTATGGCTGCTAGTAAATCAAGATAATTTTTCTTTACAATGATCATGTTTATCAAGACAAGTCATACAAGTGAAGACATTTATCCACAACCATAACATATAATACTTTTTTAGAGTGTAATTATTGACTCTGTGCTTTACTATAGTTATAATTTTACACAATAGTTATTACTATCTAGGCTAAAATACAGTGCAAGCAAAAAATTAATGTTACAACTGATAATTAATACAGTGCAAGCAAAATAATTAATGTTATAACTCATAATTGATGTGAGTGAGAGAGACAGAGCTATAAAGACAGTATTGGTAACAAAAATGGAGGTTTAATGTTAGGCTCTGATCTTCATACAATGCACACACACATTGTCATGTGAACAAGCTACATGTACCCATAAATTACATTTTTCACATTCTATCCACTCAACTACATCCTCTTGATTTTGATCATCTACTTTAAGACATACACCACAAACTTCAATCGAGTTTGACGTCATTAACATATTCTCCTTTGCTCTCTTCTCCTGCTCTGAAGTAGGCTTAGCCCATCTTGATAACGATACCCTCTTCTTCTTAGTATTTCGAAACCTTAATTGTTTCTCACTGTTTGAATTTGGTGCTGGCCTTTTTCGAATTGGCAAAACTTGTTCTCTATTATTTTTGTCACGCAAATTTTTAGCTTTTAAAAGGCAAATTGCAGATGACAAATGTGAAACCACAGAAGAAATTGTATCGATATCATTACATGAGTCCATTAAAATCTGCATTTCTGAAACTTTCCTCCAAAACAGTTCCTTGCTTTCTAAAAGTGAACTTTCTTTCCTTGACTGTAAAAGTCTAGAATAATAGGCAAGCTGATTTTCTTCTTGTACAGCATCCTCATTTGGTGCTAGTGTAGAATGTTCTGTAAGTGATAAAGATGTTGAGTGATCTGTGGATAGATCTGCAATTGGTGATTCAGCTACTACTGTTGTATCGATGTTATCATGATCATTCTCATTTGACATTCCATTTCCTGCATTTCAGTAACCCATGCTACTATACTTGAATGATCATTTTGATGTTTCTTGATACTTTGAAGATTAAGTTTGTATTCAATGTTGTGAACATCCTGACGATTCATAAGATGCTCCCTTTCAATAGTACCAGTTACACTGTCTCTAATATCATCCAGTATTCTTTCAATTGTTACTCCTTCAGCTAGCTTAGCTGCAACAGCATTCTTTACTTTATCAGGTACTCTCAAATGACATACCTCTGGTTTGTGATTACTATGATGACTGCAATAAGTGACTTTAACCATCTTCGTAATAGTATCCTCAATCACTGTCATGTGTGCAGTACAGTATTCATTTGTTTTACAGGAACCTTGAACCTTGGGAGCTCTCTGACGTTTCTCTTTCGACTGACGCACCACACCAGACCTGTTACAATAATAATAGGATTTCCTGTTAAGACCTTGCATGCGACTGGCACTGTTCTTGACATAAAAAGACTTTGAATGACTTTCTTCCCCTTTCTTCCACTCATAAAACTTATCAATAGAACGAAATTCATGGTTTGTTATTTTGATTTCCTTGTTGTGGATTTGATGAAGATGCTCAATTAGCTTTGCCACACTTAAAACCCTAAATTAAATAGTGTCACTTCTAGCACTGTATATATACTCAAATATACTTACATTGAGCCGCATAAATTGCAGAAAACGTGAGAATCTTTGACGCTTTTCTCATTGCTATGTTTCTCCTTAACATGCTTTGAAAGTGAAGATGAAAACTGGTAAGACAGATGGCAGAAAGGACACTTCTTTCTTTCTTCAAAACTTTTAGCAGATGCAGCCATGGTGGCACCACGTGGGTAGGTGTGGTGTATAATGTTAAACACGCCCACATTGAAAAAGATACTGGAATATCCCGACTTTTACTGATGGCTAATGTACTGCAATTAATGGCTAGTACTTTTGCAACCCTGCTATACCGGGAAAACGAGCTCCTATGCTTACCAGACTTTATAGAGGACCTTACCTTGACCAGAGGACTCCATTGGTACCCATAGCGTGGCTCTAGACCTTGTCTAAGAGAAAAACCAAAAATCGGCGAACCGGCCGTTTTGTTCAGCCACCTTTTTTCATCTTCATCATCATCATCAAGTCAGAAGTCCTGTCAATCCAGTTGTCGGTGTGTATCTCAGTATC